CTGGGGGCGGTGGCGGAAGAGAGGGTGAAGAGAGTGAGGGAGTGGAAAGAGAGAGAGAAAGCCAGATGGGACGATCTTGTCCAGCCGTCTGCACTGTTTGAGGCGGGGCTGGGACCGCAGCCGAAAGGTGGAGACCTCGGCCGGGCGGAGTTGGAGGAGAGGAGAAGAGCACAGGAGGTAGAGGATCGAGCCGTTATGGCCAAGGCTGCGAAGTTGATAGAGGCGCAGAGGGACCGACCGCCTGAACAGATCTCGCGGGAAAGGATCCGACCGCGCCCTAGGCCGTTGGGGGAAAAAGACTTAAGCAGCTTTGAGCCGCGTCCGCTGCCTATGGACCCTGTAAAAGAACAGGTCAGAAAGGGGGTGGAGGCTCTGAAAAAGAAGAAGAAGAAGAGGAGTGCCCCAGAGGAAGCCGCAAATGAGTCTGGGGCCAAGAGGGCGAAGGTGGCCCCAACGGATGCGGAGGTCCCTGCGGCAAAGGACGCCCCAGAGGTGGTGGAGATCATCCCAATGGTGGAGGTTGTGGAGATGGCTCCACCAGTACAAGTGGAGGCTGGGGTGGGTGAGGCGGCGCCGAGCGGGAGGGAACAGGTCCAAAGGAGGCCCGACCCCCAGGAAGGAGGGGTTCGTGTGGCTACCGCGATTTATCATGCATGCGCGGTAGCTGGAAGGTTGGAGGGAGAAGAAGGCCCAGCCAGGGCGGGAGCCGACCGCCTGGTGAAGATTGTGGATGAGGGAGCTCTGCGCGCAGCATCTGGGTATAGTGAGGCTGACCTGCTGAGGGGGTTATGCTCCGCCCAAATGGAGGTAACCACCTTGGCGGGGGCTCTTCTTAGGAAAGCTGGGGCCGCCAAGTTGAAGGCTGAGGAGGCCAGGGCCCAGTTGGCCAAATTAAGGAAGGACAGTGCCGACTGGGAGACTGCCTATGCCGATCTGTCAGCAGTCAAGTTGGAACTGGAGGACACACGCCGTAAGGCTGTGTCGCTGGAGTTCCAACTGGCTGGTGAACAGAAAAAGTTGGAAGAGTCTGAGAGGGCCTGCGCCGTGGCAGTCGAGCGGCACGAAGAGGCTATGACCAGCAATGAAGAGCTGGTTAGGCAGAAGGATGAAGCGGACTCCAGAATTGGAGACCTGTTGAAGGAGCTGGGGGAGGAGCGCGCCAGAGCAGAGGAGGACAATGGGAGGCTTCTGAGGGAATGGGAGATGGAGAAGGCGAAGGTGGTGGCGGAGCTGGAGAGTCTGAGGAAGGGGATGGAAGAGGAGAGGGCGACGGCGGCTGCTGAAAGGGTGGCCCTGCAAAGGGAGCTGGACGAGGAGAGGGCGAAGGCGGCGTCTGAAAAGGCGGCCTACCCTGATCTATGCGTCGCAGCAGTGGAGCAATATAAAGGGTCCCCCGAATTCCAGATGGTGGTGGATGCTGCCGTCGCCAGGAGTCTGGCTGGTCAAGAGCCTGGGGGTGTGGGCCCATCAAGGAAGACTGCTGGAGGTAGGACGGAATCAGAGGTGATTGAAAGCTTCCAGCAGTCCGACTTCTATAAGCACGAAATGGCCGAGTTCTGGGACAGCGGTTGGAAAATGTTCAGGCGTAGAGCTGAGGAGCTGTTCCCAAACTTGGACCTGAGTAGTGTGACAATAGGCGAGGATGATGTGGCCCAGACCCCCCTGGACGAAGGCGTTGAAGAAGAGGATCTAGCATCCAGCGAGGAAGAGTAGCCAAAGGGAAGAAGAGCTGGGCGTGCTCTGTGGTTTTTTTTTGTTTTTGTTTTTTCTTTTTTTTTCGACGTTTTGTATACATTGTAAATCTATAAGTGAATGAATAAATGAATGAATAGTTTGGTTATGATGAATTTGTGTACAAATGTTATTTTGTGTATGTTGGCAGCTGACTGTGTGGGCCTGTACTGGCCAAAATGAATGAAGTCTTGTTATAACAGTTGGGATAAAAATTGTGTAGTAAAAATTTTGTGCAGTAAGAGTCCACAAATGAGGATAAAGGGTAGGTTGCAGATTGTGACTAGACAGTTAAGTGTAAATTTGAAAGTAAATGTGAAAAATGTAACTAAGTGTTATGAGGAGGTTTCAAAATGTGACCAAGTGTGGAAAATGTAGTCTTGTTTGGCTTTGGAGTGCTCGGTTTAGCCAAGGCTCTGAGTGCTGAGTCTGGCTGAGGCTTTGAAGTGCTCAGTCTGGCTGAGGCTTTGAGTGCTCAGTCTGGCTGAGGCTTTGAAGTGCTCAGTCTGGCCGAGGCTTTGAGTGCTCAGTCTGGCTGAGGCTTTGGAGTGCTCGGTCTGGCCGAGGCTTTGAAGTGCTTAGTCTGGCCAAGGCTTTGAGTGCTCAGTCTGGCCGAGGCTTTGAGTGCTCGGTCTGGCCGAAACTTTGAAGTGCTCAGTCTGGCTGAGGCTTTGAAGTGCTCGGTATGGCCGAGGCTTTGAGTGCTCAGTCTGGCCGAGGCTTTGAAGTGCTCGGTCTGGCCGAGGCTTTGAGGTGCTTGGTCTGGCCGAGGCCTTGAAGTGCTCAGTCTGGCTGAGGCTTTGAAGTTTTGAATTGCTGTTGGTGACAATGTTATGGGATCGTCATACAAACATTTGAATTATGAAAGCGTAGATCTGCAATCGGAATTTGCGTTATATATATTAAAAAAAAAAAGGGAATACAACAATATTGGTAATACAAAAGTATGAACTTATTGATAGTAACGCTTCAAATGTTCTGCATTCCAGGGATGGGACAGGTCTCGGCCTTCCATGTCTTGGAGTCGGTAAGTGCCTGGTTGTGGTCGGGCTTTGACAACGTAGGGACCCTCCCATTTGGCTGCCAGTTTGCCCTCGGCTGGATTCTTTGTGGCGAGAGTCACTTCTCGTAAGACAAGATCCCCCACAGAGAACTCTCGAGGTCGGACTCGGCGGTTGTAGTGTGTTCTCATTTTCTGCTGGTAAGAAGCCAATCTGACAGCAGCGGTTTCTCTGAGCTCTTCGACTAGATCGAGGTCTGTTCGATGGAGCTCTTCGGCTGAGGCCAGATCCGGATGTAAAACCCTAGGAGTGGGCAGGCCGACCTCTACCGGGATAACCGCCTCAGCGCCATATGTTAAGCGAAAAGGGGTTTCGCCGGTGGGAGTGCGAGCAGTGGTTCGGTAAGCCCAGAGTACATTTGGCAGTTCCTCAGCCCAAAGGCCTTTAGCAGCTTGGAGCTTGGTTTTGATGATTTTTAGAAGGGAACGGTTGGTGACCTCAACCTGGCCGTTTGCTTGGGGGTGACCGGGGGAGGAGAAGCACGGTTGGATCTGGAGATCTGCACAAAATTTTCTGTACTTCGCGTTATCGAATTGTTTGCCATTGTCAGAGATGATGGCTTGAGGGATGCCAAATCGGCAAATGATCGATTACCAGATAAACCTGGTAGTGTTCCGCTCGGTGATTGTGGCAAGGGGTTCAGCCTCGACCCACTTGGTGAAGTAATCAATGGCAACGATCGCGAATTTGGTCTAACCTCGACCGGTGGGAAGCGGACCGACCAGGTCAATCCCCCATTTGGCAAACGGATAAGGACTGCAGAGTGTGATTAACTCTGTAGGAGGAGCATGAGGGATGTTGGCGAAGCGTTGACAATTGTCGCATTTGAGCACGAAGTCAGTCGCATCCTGATTGAGTGTTGGCCAAAAATACCCAGTACGGAGTACCTTCTGGGCAAGGGACCTGCCTCCTGAGTGATTGGCACAAATCCCCTCATGGATCTCCTGCATTACGTAAGTTGCTTGCGCTGGATTGAGGCACCGTAGATATGGCCGGGAGAAACCGCGTTTGTACAATATATCGTCGACAATGACGTAATTGGACGCTCGGGATCGGACTTTGGAAGCCTGCTGCTGATCATCTGGGAGTGCTCATGTGGTCAAGAATAGGAGGATGTCGGATGCCCATGGGATAGGTTCATTGTGAATGTATTGTACAGCTTGTAGATTGGGTGAAACGGCCAGGTGGTGTAGATATTCTA